TCCATGGGAGTCCTGACCACTGAAGAACAGGGTAAAAGGGGGCTAACAAAGTATGCAGAGAAACAGATGGACTACAGTCTGTAACTGTAGAACTACAAAGTGCACCTATATAGGAAGTGGAGCTGATAAAATGGACAACGAGTATAGAAACAAGGAGGTGGTCATAATGTTATGCCTGACCGGTGTATGTGCATGAACAGTAATTGTAGGTCAGAAAGCAGAGATAGAACTTAAAGTGCAAACTATAGTTACTATACTATAATAAATAATCTATAGTAAATAAGTTGTCTTTGAGTTATTTGCAGCTATTATTTCATAGTTTGTATTTAATTGGAAGTGGACAGCATGTTGGTAAACCAGACCAGGTGTGCAAATTACAATCACAGATGTTATATTCACAAAGTGTACAGTGCAGGTAGCTTAATGTTCATGTATACAGCTTACGGCTTGAATGTTGAAGTATAGTGATTTCCAGTTAACGTGCAATGTGGATATAGTCCCAAGAGTTCATGGAGCTCAGTGTATAGATGAGTAAACTGTGTGTTTATGTTTTGGTAGGTATTGTTGGTATGACCAGTTTAACAGCTTGTGGGTAAAACCTGTTCTTGGATCGGGTTGTTCTGGCTCTGATGTTCATGTACCCCTTTCTTAATGCAGAGGTTGAAACAGGGAGTGGCAGGAATGTGTGGGGTCGGAGGAGATGTTGATGGCTTTCCTCTGACATTGCATATTGTAGATATCCTGTGTGGGTGGAAAGGCAGCTGCGGTGATGTGCTGGGTTCACCACTCTTTGCAGGGTAACATTTTGCAGCAGTGGTGCTGCCATACCAGACTGTAAGGAAGCTTGTTAGGATGCTCTCTGCAGTGGACCTGTACCTGTAGACGATCCAGAGGAGCTGCTGTGGCAGGCTGACCCTCCTCAGCCTTCGGAGAAAGTTGAGGTGTTTTTGACAATGTGTGATGTGTTGAGTGACCAGGTGAGATCTGCGGCTGTGTGAACACCAAGGAACTTGAAACTGCTCACCTTTTCCACCACTATCCCATCAATGCTTATTGGTGCGTGCACTCTTTATTTATTTTTTTTTCCCCATCCTGAAATCAACTTTCAACTCTTTGCTTTTGCAAACGTTGAGGGAGAGGTTGTTGGTGTTGCACCACTCTGTAAGGAGCTTCACTTCCTCCCTATACCCCTAAACAGTCACTCATCGTTGATTGCATTGATTGTTATGGTGTTGGAGCTTTGCGATGCAGTCGTAGGGCGTAGATGAGAGGACGCAGCCTTGTGGGGATTTTGTACTGTGTGAGTGAAGGGGAGGTGTGGTCACCCATTCTAATAGATTGGTCTGCAGGTGAGGAAGGTTGGGAAGGTTTGGATGGGACGATGGTAGTAAAGGCAGAGCTGAAGTCAATAAACAGCATTTTCACATAGGTGTTCATTCTGTCCAGGTGGTTGAATCCGGTATGAATTGCCAGGGAGGCTGTGTCGTCAGTAGATCTGTTTGCACGGTAGGCAAACTAATGAGGGTCCAAAGTGCTAAGAGACTGCTCTTTATAGGAGCTAAGATCAGTCTCTTGAAGCACTATGGGCATGAGAGGAACGAGGCAGTAGTCATTGATGCATGAGATGATGGATTTCTTTGGCACTGGGATGATGGTTGTGGCTTTAAAGCAGGCAGGAACAGTAGACTATGCCAGGGAAATGACGAAGATTTCCGGGAAAGTGGCAGCCAGCTGGTTGGCACATGTTTTCAGGAACTGACCTAGAATGCCATCTGGACCCGCTGCTTTCCAAGTTGAGACCCTCATCAGTGCACACCTCACCTCATCTGTAGCCAGCATGAGTGCTGGCTCCTCTGTGGAGGGGGGCAGGGCAGTCGTGGTTAGCTGAGCCTGGGCAGTGGTCTCAAAGCAAGTGTTCAGTTCAGCAGAAAGGGAGGTGTCTGTGGTTGCTGAGTTACCGACTTTGCACTTATAGTCAGGGATTGCTTGGATCCCTCGTCACATGTGTCAGGTATCCAAATCTGTGTTGAAATAGGCTGCAATTTTTGCACTGTACTTGAGTTTTGCTGCCCCAGGTTGTGTCTGGCAGCTTTTAGGTTCTTTGTTAGAGGCAATCATCTTCACGCTTCTTGACGAATCCAGTGACAGATGTTGCATATTCACTTACATCAATCAGAGAGTCATTGTTACAGTCAGTACGCTGAAAGCAGTCCTGTAACATGGACGCTGCCTCTTCAGGCCAAACAACACAAACTGTTCTCACCGCTGCTTTAACCCGATTCCACAGCTGTCGGTATGTGGGCTTCATTAGTAGAGAGATGTGGTCACTCTTACCGAATGGAAGCCGGGGGTTGGTGATGTAAGCCTCCTTCACTTTCGTGTAGGAATGATCCTGTGTGTTTTCCCCTTATGTCGGCCAGGAGATGTGCTGATGGAACTTTGAGAATACTGTTCTAAAATCAGTCTGAATGAAATTCCCCACGATGATGAGTGCAGCTTCTGGATGATGAGACAGCTGCCTGCTAACGGCATTAGCTAGGATAGTTGCGACAGCTAAGCATCTCTTTGTCAAGGGATGTAAACATCTACAACAATAACTGCCGTAAATTCACAAGGAAGGCAATAGGATCTGCATCTTACCATCATGAACTCCAAATCAGGAGAGCCGAAGTGTTCAACAACAGCTGAGTTGGTGCACCATCGGTCGTTCACAAATGTACACAGTACACCGCCCTTTGTTGTGAGCGATTCAGCCACGCAGTTTGTGCGGAGCGGTATTAGCCCCTGTAACATGATGGCTGAATCTGATAAGGCTGCTAAGAAGCCAAGTTTCAGTTAAAATAAAAAGACAACAGTTACTGGTTTGGTGATCTGTTGTGAGCTTGAGTCTCAGTTTGTCCAGTTTGCTTGTTTTTAAGTGATTGTACATTTGCTTGTAGTCAGCTGGGAAGTGGCATTCTAGTTAGCTTCGCTAGCCTTGCCTGGACACCTGCTCGCCTATTCCTCTACTGATTACATTTGCAAGCCCATCGTTGGCCTCTTCTGGCCTGAGGCAAGGCTGCAGTTGACTTTAGGCCTCTGGGGTGAACAATGGGAAGCGTGAGATAAATAGTAGGCTGAATGTTAAGTCCTTTCTGATGTCATTTTATTTGCTGGTCAGAGATGAGGTTACACATTATGGACAAACTACAAGCCCATTTCCAAAAAAGTTGGGACACTGTGCAAAGTGTAAATAAAAACAAAATGAAATGATGTGTAAATCATTTAAACACTATATTTTATTGAATATAGTACAAAGACAACATATCAAATGTGGAAACTGAGATGTTATTGTTTATTGAAAAATATTTGTTTTGAATTTGATCTCAACAACACATTTCAAAATCTGGTGGTTACTTGGCAACAGGTCAGTAACATGATTGGGTATGAAAAAGAGCATCCCAGATTTTCATCGTCTACAGTACATAATATCATTAAAAGTTTCAGAGAATCTGGAAAAAATCTCAGTATGCAAGGGACAAGACCAAAAACCAGTATTTGCTGGCTGTGATCTTTGGGCCCTCAGATGGCACTGTATTAAAAACAGGTCTGCTTGCAGTCCAGACCTGTCACCATTGAAAACATTTGGCGCATTATGAAATGAAAAATATGACAAAGGTGACCCCAAATTGTTGAGCAGCTGAAATCCTACGTTAAGCAAGAACGGGAAAACACATCATTCTCAAAACTACAGCAATTGGTCTCCTCAGTTCCCAAACTCTTACAGAGTGTTGTTAAAAGAAGAGGTGATGAAACACAGTGGTAAACATGCCCCCATCCCAACTTTTTCAGCACCTGTTGTTGGCATCAAATTCAATATGGGCATATATTTTTCCAAAAACAATAAAAATATACATTTCTCAGTTTCAACATTTGATATGTTGTCTTTGTAGTATTGTCATTTAAATATAGGGTTCACATGATTTGCATATCATTGCATTCTGTTTCTAATTATATTCTGCATAGCGTCCCAACTTTTTTGGAAATGGGGTTGTATATGAAATATTACACAAATAACAGGCAATAAAAAGCTGTGCATAAGTGGAAGAGGTAGCCCAGTTGCTGCCATCTCCAGCACCACTGGAAGAACTCTCAACTGCGTGTAACACAAGTTTTAACAGAAGGTGTTTTTGTTATCTGTATACAGTTGTGTGATTGTATATGGGCTGATATACTTTTTATGCAGGAAAAGTCCAGTTGGATCTCTCAGTCATACTGGAGGCACATTTTAGTGAAAAGCGTAAATGGAATCTAGAAATATGAAACACGTTTCACTAAAATGCGTCTCCACTGTGACCAGATGAGATCCGATTGGACTTTTCCTGCTTAAAAAGAACAAGTTGTTTCCATTTTACAGTTGTTTACTTTTTTCCCATTGCAGTAAGAGTCGACAAGCTCCACTTAGACACTTTTATTGGCCTGGAGGGCATGAATGCACTTGCTTTAGAGATAACTCCAACCTCATGTATCCTCCATGTTTAGTTTTCTTGTTATACATTGTTTTCTTATTAAGCCAGTTTAGGACATTTGGTAATTTCATTCAGAAACAACAATATATTTTCTTTTAGCTTTATTTTGGTATGTAGAGAATGATTGATATATACTTGCCAGTATAAACATTTCACCTTCCCCATTATCTGAGAGTACTTTTCTGAATCACAGTTTAGGCTAAGGTTGCAGACCTCTTCAGTTGTGGTGAGAATTCTGGATGTTAAGTCCAATAAGTATTAGATTTGATATCATAATGGTTGTGATAGGAGAGTAATTAGTAGGCTAGATCAATCCTTCACAGCCAAATATCCTAGCTTTTAAATCTAATTACGCATTTACTCAGTAAGCAGTCAGAGCTAATAATAATAAAACAATATTAAGGGACTTTGCTTTTGGAATGAAAAACAGGACGTGATTTATGTTTTGCTTAATTGCCTCGCTGATTGACTTTCTTCACTGTTCTTTTGTAGGACGTCTACAAGAATGGTGGCAACTGAGTAATCAACACTGGCTTGCACGGGCATCACAAAATGCTTGGACTTCAGGAAACAAAATCTGCTGGAACTCCTCCCAGTAAAACATACAGCTGTGTGGCATGCTCTGCCACTTTTAATGGTTTATCATCTCTCTTGGTACATCAGGCTTCTCATGCCAGTGAAATCTCTGACCAGAAAGCAGCCACGTTGCCTACATGCAGTCACTGCGGCGGCTTGTTTGCAAGTCCAGAACTTCTTCAAAAGCATCACTGCATGGTATTACCCCCTCCTGTCACTCAAGATGTGTACGTGTGTGATTGTGGAGAAGAGTTTCATGAACTTGGTGCCATCCAGGAGCATAAAAAGATACATGAAATTAAAACACATGTGAAGCCACAATCGGACAAGACAAGTAATGAAACGTCTGAAAGTAATGAAGAATCCGAACGTGTCGAACCTTCAGAACTTGCTCAGATAGACTGCCACTCTCCCCCAGTTGAAGTTCCCTCTAATGAGAACTTGCCTTCTCATTGCACTGATGAGTCACTTCATCAGAACACACAGACCGCTTCAGAGGAGTGCTTGTCTACTTCAGATTCTCCTTCTGTTCATAATGCCGTATCACAGGTACATCATGATGAAGGGTCAGAGCCATCTGACTTAACCTCCCCTCTGGCACACACAGAAGCACAAAACCAGTCCTTAGAGAATAAAGTTGAAAATGTAACATCTGAGAATACATGTCTTTCTGACAGTGAGGAAACACCAAATGAAAATCAAGAATCAAGTAATAAAAAATCGCTGCTTAAAATGCTTGCATCTGCCTACATGAATTGTAGGCAGCCAGCTCAGAAGCAATCGGAGCAAGGCAAGAGGACCCTACCCCCAAGGAAAGTTTCACCAAGGGCACCAGTGCAGGCTCCAGCAGTAATGTCAGCATCAAGCTCTGGGTATTTCATTAACCAGTTAATACAAAAGGTCACTAAATATGGTCCCGAAAGAGTGGGTTTCAGACAATCAAGCAACACGCTTAATGTCAAGCCTGTCAAGAAAAAAAAAAAAAGAATTGTATCTACGACCAAGACGCTATACCCTGTGGTTGCACTTGAGACCTGTCAAAAGCTTGTTAGAGACAACATTGAGGGGAGGCATCAGTGCGGTCTCTGCCGGAGAGTTTTTCAAGATGTGGACAGCTTGATAATGCATCATGCCTTGCACAAGAAAGAAAGAGTCAAATTTTGCCGCCGTTGCCGACAGTATGTGATAAGTGTCATTTCCGTTCCACATAACCACATCTGTGCTAGCTCTAATGTTGGATTTTCCAGACATTTTACATTGCTAACGTCAAACAGTCCTACAACGCAGCACTCTCGGAAGTTATTCCATTGTACAAAGTGCAATCGGAGCTATACACGGAGGCACAGACTTAACAAACACAATTGTCAATGGCTAGCCTCTCTTAAACGCTCTGCCCCTGGAGCCCAAAAAGGTGAGAAGTTCAGCAATTTTGGGGAAGGGTCTAATGCAGAAAAACAAGTCATGTCAGTACAGCAGGATTCATCATGCCAGGTAACTGTTGGTGTGAACACAGGGGGCCTTAAACTGGTAAAGACTGAGGAGCACAGCACTGATTCTCCATTGGAGGGAAAATATCAGACAGGGTTATCAACAAAACGTCCCCCTCTCAATTCTGGAGTTCACATAGGATCAGCTAAGAGTTTTCCACCATTTCGTCCAAACGTTTCTAAATTCAGTTCAGTACAATCAAGAGAACATGTTAATTCAGTTGAGTCTACAGCTGCCCAAGATGAAATGAGGCCAGGAAGTGACACTGAAACAGGTGAATCGTTAGGAGGGAGCCAGTGGACTGTGCCTTTGGATGATGCTGAAATAGATGTGATGGACGTTGATGAAGAAAAACATGATTTGATGGTGGCACCCAAGGACAGCTCTGATGAGGTTGTTGTCTTAGAACCCACCATAAAGTGTCCAACCAGTTCAATACTGTCATGTAAAGATTTTCAGGTGCACATTTCTGCTAGTGGTGTAAAACGTTTTTCGTGTAATAGATGTCAGAGAAGCTATTCCCGACGTTTCACTGTGAGGCAGCACCTTAAGATTTGTGGAGCAAGAAAATTAATGGAGCAACATTCTTTTGGAAAGGCTAATATGATTGCGTTAAAGAAAAAGTTTCCATGTCCCAATTGTGGTGCATCATTTACCCGCAAAGACAATATGAACATGCACCGAAAGAGGTGTCAGTCAATGAGAAGTGCAAGCACTCTGGAGGTGAATAAGTTGTCTGAGAAGAAAAACCAAGCCTCCCAGGAAAACATGTTTGTGTTGCCCCCAGTTTCTAAGAACCAAGTAAGACAAGAGAGCAGTAACAATAATTCTGGAAGTGGAAACTGGGGGATTATGTCATTACCATCTGTGCTTCCCAGAAAAGTGACTTGTGAGTGCGGTGCTGCTTTCACTTGCCCCAGGCTTCTGTTTGAGCATCTGCAAATGCATGCGATGGAGTCCTACATTTGTTCCCATTGTGGTGAGAATTTGCAGTCATGGGCTGAGTTTGAAGCACACCAAAAATTCCATGCACAAACTTCGGTGCAGAAAAGTGAGCAGAAAGTGTCGCAACCACAGCAACCTCAGCTTCAGCAGGTGCCACGTTTTCAGTCGACAGTGCAAAATCAGAAAAACCAGTCACGTTTAAATCACAGACCTCTCACAGAACCATGTGTTTGCCACAGATGTAAAAAGGTCTTCAGAAGACGGAAATCTTTGCTGAGACACCTGAGGTTGAGTTGCAGAGGAGATATTGCAGGTCAAAACAAGCACTCTTGTTCTCGCTGTGGTATGACGTTCCAAAGTCCATTAGCCCATAAGGTTCACGTTCAGGGCAACACTTGTACACCTTCTTTCAAGCCTATCCGCTGCCCAGTGTGTGTCCGTTGGTTCAGTTGCGTGGATGGACTCAAAAGACACTTGGTCTCGCACAGCCAACAAAAGGTTTTGACGTGCCAGATCTGTGAGCATAAGTGCTCAAGCCACGAAGATCTTGAGGAGCATAAAAGGAGGGTCCATGGCACAAAGGAAGCTGCTGAGTCACCTACTATTCAGTCTGCACATGTTTCACAAAGCAACCCATCAAATGCCTTTCAGTGCCAGATATGTCAACGCAGTTACTCAAAACTCCAGTCCCTGAAGGATCATCTAAGGAAAGTCCATCGACCGCAAGGTCTAAACCCAGGCAGCGTTGGTGTTTTAGAGCCCAAAGCTGGTGGACTTCAGTCATCAGTAGGGACTGTGCAGCAAGGCCAGTCCAAGCAGTTTCAGTGTCACATTTGTTCACGTACCTACCCAGATATTCAGTCCTTGAAAAATCACAAGAGGAGGGTTCATCGCATTCTAGGAAGTGGAATTCAGCCATCAAAAGGAACTCTACAGCAAAGCCATTCTAATCCGTTTCAGTGTCACATCTGTTCACGGAGCTACCCTGACTTGAGGTCCTTGAGGAACCATAGAAGGCGAGTCCACCGCATTCTAGGTGGTCTTGAGATGTTCAAGGGAATCGTTCATCAAACCCAGGGCAACCCATATAGGTGTCAAATTTGCCAGCGGAGTTATCCAGATGTAAGGTCGTTAAAGAACCACAGAAGGAGGGTGCACCGTATTTTAGGGGATGTGCCAGAGTCTGCAAAAGTGACTGCTACAGATGTGGAACAGTCAGACGTTAAGTCAGAGCCTCTTGATGTTACTTTATCTCCAAGTACGGCTCCTGAGACTGCAGTACAATAAGTGAGCAACGAAGATCATTTCAGCACAATGCTGAATTGACTCGGACTTAGATTGAAGGAACAGAGATAAATTTGAATCTCAGTTCAGTGCGAGGGGAATCCCACTGAATTTATAGTTTCTGCATAATTAAATTAAGATCTGATGTGAAATGCACCATTCTGGAGAAAATTACAAAGTCACAGTTGTTCATAGCAGTGGTTAAATGAACTAGGTGTCTGATTTTAATGTCTCTAATAACTACTTCACAGGAAACTATTACATGAAATGGTTACCTGTGCATTATCTGATATGAGATTTTATGGTGGCTTTGTGATAAGACTGTAAGCTAAAACTTATTTTTTAAAAATCATTTGTGGCAGAGAGGTACAGAAAGTTAAAGAGCAAAATGGAACAAGTATTAGAAAACCTTAGCTTCATAAAATTACCACTACTTTAGGGCTGCATTGTATAAGATTTTTATTTATAAAATTGAAAGAAGTAGCATTACTGACTTAGAAGAATATGTTTTCAGTGCACTTCTAGAAGGGTCTGATTTAGTGGGAGTCTTTGGGACCACCTGCTATGTCATTACATATTGACGTCACCTGCACAGTTTTAAAAAGAAGGTCGGCTTGATGTTTAGGTCTCAAATGCAAAATCAACATCATACTAATGAAGATAGGATAACAGTGGATAATTTACTCACATCCTCGGAAGACACGTCCTTCACAGAGTTTTGAGCGAGTTCTCTTTGAATGCTCTTTCAACATGCTCACAAATATTAGATACATCTGCTCGTTGGGTTCCAAAACACAGCCAATGTTAGTTCTTTTGCACATTGTGTGCAATTACACATTTCCGTCAGAGAGGTCTCCAAATCCCCTAAACTTACATTGTGTAGCTTCAACATTGCTATATTTTAGAACAAAACAGATGATATCATTTTGGATAGTCACTAAAGTGGCTGTATGTGCGTCGTCAGCATCACAACCCCAGTGCTTATCACCGAAATTCAAAATCGATAAGTTTCTCTGCACTTACAATTATTCTGAATAGTCGTATTTATATCTCATTGATTTATTACGCAGAAATCTTTAAGAAGCAGTGGAATTCTTCTTGATGTGCTAAGACTGTGTATAGTGGGATTATGTGTATGTGCACTTAACTTTTTCTTTAAGTTGGAAAGTAGTAAAGTTATAGATGCAAAATAGTTAACATGTAAATATGACAGACGGATAGAAAACTCTTTTCTGTACTCGTTTCATTGGTAGTTCCAGGTGTTTACCTTGTCTTGAAATGTAAATATATCTCCTGTCTCTATCTTTCTTTCTCTCTGTCTCTCTTTCTCTCTCTCTATCCCTTTCTCTCTCACTCTCACACACCTGACAAACATCTGAAAATAAATTGTTGGCAAATGCATGCACAGCTTTTTTATAAAAAAAAAAAAAAACAGATTGCATTGTAGATAAAGGTTTTGTTTGTAACTTCGGTGCGTTGTCTGTACTGGACACAGTTTTAATGGAAACGTTTTGAAGCGTTAGTTCCTCAATACTGTATCAATAAATACTGTGGTGTTCTTCCTTTCTTTTTGTTTTATTAAGCATTGAAATGTTTAGTTACATACATGCTTAGTGAGTACCGCAAGTTGCTCAGTAATTCAGGCTACACCTAATGCACTTTTAAAAAACTTGGCTTTGTAAATTATATATTTGTAAGCACTCTGCGTGATGCTACAGTGCTGTGAAAAAGTATTTGCCTCTCATCTGATTTCTTCAGTTTTTGCTAATTTGTCATATTTAAATGTTTCAGATCATCCTAATTTTAAGACATGAGTAAACACAAAACACTACTTTTAAATGATCATTTCATTTATTGAAGGTTAAGATTTATTCCAAACCTATATCACCCATGTGAAAAAGTAATTGCCTCTCTAGACCTAATAACTGGTTGTGTCACCCTTGGCAGTAACAACTGCAGTCAAACGTTTTTGATAACCTGAGCGGAGGAACTTTGTCCCAGTCTTCTTTGCAGAATTGTTTTAATTTGTCAACATTGACGGGTTTTCGAGCATAAACTGCTTGTTTAAGGTCTTGCCACAGCATCTTGGTGGAATTCCAGCCAGCACTTTGACTCTGCCACTCCAAAACCTTAATTTTGTTTCTTTTGAGCCATTTAGAGGTGGACTTGCTTTTGTGCTTCAGATCATTTTCCTGGTCTGTAATCCAGCTGTGCACTGACCTGAACCGACGAGTGGACTTTCCCCTTTAGAATTTTCTGATAAATAGCAGAATTAATGGGTCCATCGATTGACCAGGTCCTGCAGAAACAAAGCAGCCCCAGACCATCACACTACCACCACCATATTTGACTCTTGATATGATGTTCTTATGGTGGAGTGCAGTGTTAGCTTTACACCAGATGTAACAGGACCCATGTTTTCCAGAAAGGTCCATCTTTGACTGATCAGTCCATAGAATATTATCCCAAAAGTCTTGGGGGTCATCCAGATGTTTTTTTGGCAAATGCAAGACGAGACTTTGTGTTATTTTAGGTCGGCAGCCTTGCAACTCTCCTCCTGATGCATTTTTTTTTATTGTGGAACCACGTACATTGACCTTAACTGAGGCAAGTGAGGCCTGCAGCTTTTTAGATGTTCATCGGAGTTCCTTTGTGACCTCCCGGATGAGTCACAAGTTTTTGCGTTTTGTGGATAATGGCTCTTACTGTGGTTTGCTGGAGTCCGAGAGCCTTAGCAATGGCTTTGTAAACCTTTCCAGTCTGGTAGATTTCAATCAATTTGTTATGCGTCTGTATTTGAATCTCTTTGGTATGTAGCATCATGTGCTGCTTCTAGCCTGCTTCACATTGCCAGACAGGTTCTATTTAAGTGATGTTTAGATTCAACAGGTCTGGCAGTATTCATGCCTGGGTGTGGCTAGTGAAATTAAACCCAGTAGTCAAATGAATTTTGTTAACTGATTTATTTAGTAAATAAGGAGGCAATAATTTTTCCACATAGTCCCAGTTAGGCATTTTTGCTTCAATAAATGGAATCATTTAAAAACAGCATTTTGTATTTACCTGGATGTGACATGTGCAGAAGATTGAATTGGGAGGGGGCCAATACTTTTTCACAGCCCTGAATATGTACTTTGGACTTCATGCATTTAAATTTTCTTATAATTTGAACATCTCATATTATTTACACCTGTACCTCACATTGTTCTAGTAGGTACAGTTGTATGGAAAAGTTTTGGTGTGCTTGGTCAAATTATGTTGAGAAAATAAGTTAACACGTTCTCCATAGAGAGAACACTTCTGTATAATTTAATGCACAATAACTTGATTTGCTGAAGCCTGTGCAAAAGTTATGCCACAATTTCTGTACTATTTTTCCCCCATTGTGTTCAACTTGGCAAACAAGTAGAAATTTTCTTTAAAATTTGCAGAAAAACATAGCATATAAGTTTGCTTCCTGTAGAGGATGTGTTAACATTATCACTCAGAATATCAACAAAACATGCAATTTGACCAGGTTGTTCAAAAATTTGCATACGATTGTATAAGCATAGTATGATTGTTAAAAATGCCAGGATATTGGATTCATTTGCTTTGTTTTGTAAGATCAACCCAAACAACGAACATTTTTGATGTAATGATCAGGGTTATGGGCAGTATAAGCATTTGTATAGTAGGGTAAGCAGTCACTTACGGACCCTGAGCCAGCAGGGGGCCCCACAAGCATGTAGTTGTCTTTTTGTTTTCCTCCACAAGAACAGAAACACAGATGTTCATGGTTACCATGGTTCAGGGAGTCGCATGGGGCTCCTTCCAGGTTTGTAAAGAACACAGTGCAGCTATTCAAGTCAGACTTGTGCCATAATAGTGTCCGAAATGATAGGAATAGCTTGCTGAGAATGAATTTTACACAATTTTCACTTACCCTAAATGCAATTCAACAGCCAAGGTGTATTTGGTGTCCAGATTTTGCTCCTTTAGACTCTACAACATAGCTAACATTGCTAACAAACACCAGAATAGTCAATAGTCACCCAAATACATCCCCAAAACTTCTCAACCCTATCTAATCCATCTCTTTCTTAAGATACAGTATGACTTACTGTAAACAACAAAACCATTATTGTAGGGCTGAGGGAGGTTGAGTTCATGTTGTAGACAATGGATGGGAAGGTGGGGGTGGGGGGTTTGATCCAGAACTTGATTTCTTTTAGGAATACAGGAACCAGTAACATATTATTTAACAAAAAATACAAATACACCTTGTTTTTGCTTAACTTGCCCATAAAATGAATAGTCTGTCACATTCAGTGACCTGATGAAGACTAACAACATTTAAGCCAGGGGTGCATAACTCTGGTCCTGGAGGGCCGGTTGCCAGCACAGTTTGGAGGTTACCCCCCTCAAGCATAGATAAGTGTCATCAGGTGTGTTTTATTAGGTAAATCGCCAAACTGCATTGGACACCAGCCCTCCAGGACTGGAGTTGTGCACCCCTGATTTAAGCCTTCAGAGGGGCATCATTTTGTATTTGGTGCCATACTCCTTTGCCCATATACGGAACTAAAGATTCTAAAGGGAATTTCTCTATGAGAAGAATGAATGGAGTTTTCAAAAGTTGCCTCTGTTGCAATTAAAAATTAGATTAGATGACCCTTATTAGTCCCACAATGGGGAAATTTCACCTCCGCAGTCGAACCTGTGCAGTGAAACCCCACATACACACTAGTGACGACGCACACTTACTCAGAGTGGTGGGCAGCCCTATCCGCAGCACCTGGGGAGCAGTTGGGGGTTGGGCGCCTTGCTCAGGGGCACCTCAGTCATGTACTGTTGGCTCAGGGGATCGAACCGGCGACCTTCCGGTCATGAGGCTGGTTCCCTGACCTCCAGCCCACGACTGCCCCCAAATGCTCCAAAGCTAATATATTTAGTCCTATGAAGTTTTTTCTCGGATATCACTGGATCCTCTAAATTACGAGGTTGTGAAAGAGCCGAAATACAAATATTGCGACATGTTAGCTAATACTGCTACGCACTGTATTTACATCATTTTAAAAAAGGCCCAGTTTTTGTGATGTCAACACGTTTTTTCATATATCCACTTATGCAGCCTATAGTAGTTTAGCCCCGCCCATTCATGCTAAATTTATAAGGAGTATTTCAGCCTGGACTGCTTTTTGAAGGAGGCTTAATAAAGCAATTGTAATTTTATCACAGGAAGAGTGTTCTTTGGCAAGATGCGAAGCTAATTGCTTTTATAAAACGACAATTTTTCAGAAAATAAAAAGCAATTTTTCAGATAATAATTTGTTACTATTAATAATAAACGACATAAACAACTATTCCGCCAAGAAATGTAGTTCCTTTAGAGTACGGTTTCGCTGCCAAGCACCCATGGACCGCTGAACGAGGAGAACATTCGGTCACCCATCGCTGTATATTGCAAGCATTTCATGAACTGTTTAACTTTGATATGATAACACAGGACTGTTTAATGCAAAAACTGAGACTCAGCCACATCCACACTCGATAAATGATGCACTTTTTGGCTGTAGAGGCTAGAATTTATAAACTTTCATAGCACACTGTTTAGGGAGTACGAGCCATTTGGGAGTTAGCCTGAGTTTGACGCTATTTCTGAATAAGGCACAAACGTTTGAAGTGTGTAATCTATTCAAGTGACATTTTTAGACTTTTATGCTGCCATTTTACAGTTTATCATAATGAATTAATTAATTAATAAGTACTTTAATTCGAGCCAGTGATAGTAATGATGGAGTTGTTTTGGCTGTTGGCTATTATTTAGCCTGTTCGCTAGCTGACCAGCCTAGTTCTAGTTAAGAAAGTAAGTCTCCAGCCCCTCAGTTTAAACAAAAAACGGGTTCTTACTTCATCAGTATACTCGGTGGTCCATTTGAGCAGTCAAAGATTATACCATTAACAGCACAAGGGTGTGAAATGAATCATGTTTTTGGCACATAAAACCACACAAATGTGGAAAATAAATACAAGAAAATACAAGAAAAGCGCCAGTTAGGAGTCTTTACATATTGAGCCCAGTTGTAATACTACCCCCGTACACTAGGGGCGGTGTAAAACGTGCACGATGGCTAAATAACTTCCCGGCGCTGCATTAGGAAGAATGGGAGGGAGATTGGTCACCAGTTTTGGCATCAGGCTTATATCTTTTATTTTTCCTTAACCGTTGACACTTATAGTCTGTTTTTGCACATTAGTTTTTAGATATACTGTCTGTGAGCAGTATGGATTTACCCATTGACTCCAGCCTGTTCTTGTCGGATGACCAAGGTAAAAAAAAACAAACCACAAACATCGTTGTGCGAGATTTTAGCCTTTTTATCTGCAGTATGTGAATAACAGTCTTATAAACGAGCCTTCCTACCGCAGTTTATCAGTTTCATATCCCAAATTACGAGGCTGAAGTTGGCTTCGTATATGAATTTTCCACTCCACCTTAAGTGGTGAAGCCGTTGCATACTGGCGCCTGTTCATGCTCCACAATGTAGCCCTGCTGCCGCACCATTTAAGGTGGAACGGAAAATTCGAAAAAGAATTGAGGTGTAGGCTAAGGCTAGATTAAGGTTGAAAAAAGAGTAACGCTACAGTTTTTACTACCGCGATTTTTAGGGTTTAACAAAGGGATGTTTTTTTTATTTGTTTTATTCATTTATATATATTTTTTATCTTTAAATCACTGCTATATCTCTGTATTCCTATCGAGGGCTGGGGGGGCAGCTGTGGTTCTGGTTCCGTACGGTTCGGCCTTTTTCTCTAAAGACGATGACACACTGACCGTCAGCAAATACTGATGTTCTGTCGTTGTTTATCGGCTTAATATGGTTCCACAGTAAGACCTGATACGCAGAACGAACCGGGCTGAATTGGGGAGAATATTCTAGAATTCCCAACAATGACGCACAGGTGTTCCACACCGACCCACGTTTTGATGGTGTTTGTTGGGTCAGTGTGCCAAAGCCGTTATACTCGGTCATTAAAGGGGAATTCCACCGAGTTTTAAGGATTAGGATGTAAACAAAGTCATTCAGGCTGGTTTGATGTGTTGTGCATCATTCTAGACAAAACATACTGGGTCAGAACTGTTCTCAGTGTTGGTGATAGGAACCAGAGGTCTGAAGTGTTCAATGCCTTTTAAAGCTGCCTTACAGGAAGCTATTAAATGTGTAACAATGACAAATATGATGCCTGAGGGGAGAGTTGGGATGTTTGCGGGTGATCGGTTTAGCATCGGTGTGGTACTGGACTCATGCTTGGGGGGTTATGGGAATGAAGCAGGTGTTGAGAGAAAAGTTGAGATTTTTTTATTTAAAAATTTCATAAGCAATTTTTTTTATTAACAGAATAATTACATGAAGGAAAACTGTCAACCAGTAACAACAAGTAACAGTGTGGGGTGAGATTTTCCCATGTTGCTTATCAAGATATTCAAAATACATTTAGAATATATGTTATTCTGAACATGCTTTTTATGGAATGCAACAGAACATACCACTGAATACATTCAGGAGGTGTGTATTCAGTATCCTGCCATTACAACTTGACATCACAAATCAGTTTATTGCGATGAAATCATGATCACAAGTTTTTACTGCTGTTGGTGTTCAGAGAACTTGTTGTCTGTAATACATATTTTGAACGGTAGCTTATTTAAAATTATGGTAAGTTGTGAAACATAAATATTCTTGTTTTTAAGGGTTGTTTTGGGAGTATTCAGGTACTCGTTTGGAAATTGAGTTTTCAAAGCCTGTTAAATGTTTGGACCAGACCTACAGAAAACCCATGCAGAGCAGAGAGGTATATGTATAATGTTGTAAGGTCCCAAAAATATTTTTTTTCAGTTTTACCATTTTTTTTATCAATGTCAACATTGCATATAAAAACATAGAAGACACATTTAGGTTCACTGGTCATTTTGGATAGTAAATAATATGGCTATATTTGCGTTGTAGACATTGTGAGGCCTGGTTCCTATCACCACCACTGTAAAGATAATCAGAGCAGGTAGATTTTTCTACAGTGAACCATTTCACACAAAACACTGAATAATTTTGTGTACGTCTATAGAATAGTGATGCAAATATTTTGAAAAATCAGTGGAATTCTCACTTCAAGGTGTGTACATTCAAAATGCTCAAAAAATGGAATGAAAGTAAAATCAAAAAGGTTTTAAAAAACACATTGTATGTTACTGGTGTCGATGTGAAAATGTTTCAGTTGTTCAAGGATTAATTGCTTCTCTCTTTCCCCGACAGATGTGGCCAAACTGGTACAGGAAGAATTCCAAAAACAAATACTTGTGGACAGTGAGAAATTTCAAAAGGCCCAAACCACAAGGATGAATACGGATCTTTGGGACAGTCTATGGAACTCTGTTGATCCAGTAGTTAATAAACTGGTTAATCAAGTGGCCAATCCAGTCTTTAGTCCAGTCTTCTGCTTGGCTTGTGATACCATGTTCTTCAATAGGCTGACCCTTGAGGAGCATGTCTGCCCTTTTGTTAGCTTCATTTGTTCGTGTGGTATTGGTTTCACTAATTATCCTGAAATGTGGTCCCACAGTCTGTCCCACAACCACAAAGCATCATATGTAGTGAATCACAAAAGTGCTATACAGAACAGGATCAATTCTGTTAAAGAGCAGGAGTCCAAGCTGAAGTTTTTAGAGGCTACTGCAAAGAACGTCGGCATTGTTCAGGAGGCTGTTCCGGCCACAGCTTCACCTCCGTCTATGACAAGGTACGCCGTTGGACGAACGATTAACCTTTGGAGGCGTTTCAAACCAGTGGTGAAGATCAAGACTCTTCAGCCGTTTCCCAGTCGAAGGAAGTACATGTGCGCGGTTTGCCGCGAAGTGATGTGCAGTCAGGACGTGCTCATCGAGCATGTCCATGCCTCTCACCATAACACCTGCATATATGGCTGCATTCGCTGCGGGCTGCTTTTGATAAGCAGTGTCACTCCAAAACCTCACCACAAGTGCGGCTCCCTTTACACCGGCCCTTCCAAAAGGTTCACTGTTGGCCACGTGGTTAAAGACCCTCTGGCAGCTGACAGACTGTATATGCCGTATGCTTGTCAGTACTGCTCTCTGAAATTTTGTCATCCAGTGCACCTAAGCAACCATGTCCATCTCAACCACACCAACATATCCAAACTGCAGGTAAACAAGTCGCAAGGAAGCAGTGCAAAGAGAGTGCAGCACACTTTGAAGAACATGTCAAACAGAACCTCACAAACTCAAAAGCAGAGGTGCGCGCTTTGCGGCAAAATGAACGACTCGCTCAAGATACTTGCGCAGCACTGGTGCATGAGGGGGCTGACTTTGCTCAAGCCTGAGAAGGTCGCGAAGATGATCAGCGAAAAAGACCAACAAAGATCAGACTGGTGTTCACCAATAGAGAGTGACAGCGAAGAACTGACCTTCCGCTTTCAAAACATCAGTGACATGAAGATGTACGGTCATACAAAGCTACTGACGATAAAAACGGAGCCGGTAGAGGTGAACCTTAAGATGACCCAAACAGACTTTTCTCAAAGGGTATCTGTGAAAACCGAGCCCGATGACGATAACGGAGTGGAAAAAGCTCAGACTGAAATGAACAGACTCTTTTACCAAAATTGCAGTACTCCCAATGCTAACAATCTGAAGTGCTGGCTTAGCAGCATATAGGACCAAAGCTATGGTTTACAAGTGTTTTGGAATTGTTCTCTTCATTCGTGGATAGTCATGTTGTATAGACTCTCATTCTGCTATTTCAGCAAATTTGATGTATTTTACTCGATGACTAGCGTCCCAGAGCTTTCAGTCGTTCTTGGTTGTTTCCGACTATTGTCAGCTATGTTGAGTAATTCCAATAAAAGTAAAAAAAAAAAACTTCCCTGACTTGCCCTAAAGAGATTCACAACAGATTTTTTTCTGTTTCGCTTTTAAACCATGCAGCCAGGGCTGGGCAATATGACAATATACATCATTATTGTGGTAAAGGATGTCACACTTTTCTGAGCATATCATGGATATTGTCAGTACTTGAACACTGACCAAATGCATGTTTCATTATAAAGAAACTGCAACACAGTATACCAAATATTGAATAAATTAATTTTATTATGATTCTTTTTTGCTCAGTTCCAACTGATCAGATCTGAAAAAATATATATTGTGTCATATTGTGTATTAGGAAAATTTCTTGAGGCATGACAATATTATATTTTTGCCATATTGCCCACCTCTCAATGCAGCCACTAGTTTCAAAGAAAACCAATTGTTCATTTCAGTCATTGTCAACAAAGTCGTTCAGAGTGGTCTGGTGTGAAACAGGTCATTGTAGAGAAATCTGACAAATCAGATTTCTTTCCAGTGGTGGTGATAGGAACCAGGCATCTATGGCTGTGTTTACATGCAAAGATTTTTGCCAATCTGATTGAATACATTCCGATTATAGATTAAGACTGAGGTGTTTATATGGTCACTCTACTCAACAATCTGATGAAAATCTCCCTTTACGTGCACATTACAAGTAATAGTGACACACAAGGGTTCTATTGTTACAAACTTGACATCAATTTTACAAACCCTCTTAAAAAAGACGGTTCTTCTAGTTTCTTCTAGGTTCTTAGTTCGTAAAGACAAAGGTTCTATATAGAACCATGTAATCTCCAAGAACCATTTGCATTTAAATGGAAAAAAAATAAATTCTATATAGACCCTTTTTGAAAATGGTTCTGTATAGCACCAAAAAGGCTTCTGTTGTTTCAAGCTTGACATCATTACAGTACACTCTTTAAAAGGATGTACAGAACCTTTTTGAAAATGTATAGCAGCGTAAAGCGTTCTTCTAAAGTTGCAAGCTTGAGATCGTAACAATAAACTCCTAAATAATAGATGGTGTTTCTGTAGTAAAGACAGTGGTTCCATATAGAACCATGAACACTCAATTTGCATGGTGGAAGGCCTCTGCAGACTGATTGAGAATGTGTTGTATACCAAAAAGGGTTCTTCTGTTGTTCAGCACTTGACACTGTAACAACAGAAGAACCTTCTTTTTTTCAAAAAGGTTCTGTATAGAACCATATACAACACATTGTCTATCATTCTGAACAATTTCACAATGCAAAGGACTGTTTAAGCACGAAATGGTTCTATATAGGCCTCACGGCTCTAAATAGAACCATTGCTTTGACTAAAGAACCTTTAAAGAACCGTCTTTTTAAACAGTGTAGAGTATGGGCAGCACCAGATTAGATGATAACCCTTTCAGGTCGGCTGTCACAAACAGAGCAGTTGGTAACAGCGCTGGATTTATATTCAGACATGTTAGCGCTTTGCAGGGCACATTTTATGAAACATTTTTAAATATATTTCCTTCACTTTGCGAAAAAAAATCACGTAATTCATAAATAAACGAGTCCATTTATAATCCGAATGAAAAGCCCGCTAAAAAATGAGTGTTGTTTTTAAAAAGGGGTCGGGCTCTGTGGCGGAAACGGAAGTTCGGTAATGTAACGTGAGACGTTCTTTTCTGTAAGGAGGCTTGAAAATGGTCGAGAACAATACAGTCCACACAGTGTTAGTGACCTGTCGGCAGTCCGGCCAGATTATTTACTGTTTTTAACATGGCACAGATGGACAAACTCCCAGAAGAGCTGCTCAGTCGAGGCCTTCACCGCGTTACCGTCACCTGAGTGGGGGACCCTCGCAGGCAGCGCCGCGGAGAACGTTAAATTAGCATCTCCAGTAAGTAGCGAATGTGCTGTTTTTAAAGTAAACACAAGTTATTATAAATGTTTCTACTCAAAAACATATTAATGCGGACCGTTTGGCTTAGTAGTCGCAAGCCAAGTGTAAATCTGCAAGTGCTAAAGATGGAGAGGGGAGCGGAGTTTGCTTGGAGAACAATCAAGACCTCCAACCAGCCATGTAGAGTTAAAGGGGAGGTCCACCGACTTTTCAAAATTTGTGCATAATTAAATATTTGCGATGTAAACGGAGTCATTCGGAGTGGTTTGATGCGAAACTTACCGAAGAGTTCAGTGGTGGTGACGCGAACCAGACGTCCACCTCTGAAATCTTCTTGCATGAAATGGTTGAACACACTGCCTGATGTCTGAGACTGAGATTGTTTTATGATCAGGTTTTGGCTTAAAACGTCTTTTTAATCCATTAATTTCACCCATTCGTAGCGAAGGGGTACATGCAGGGCATTGTGAGGCAAACAGTCCAGAAAGAAAGCTTGTTTTTTTTTTTCAGATTTATGCCTGTTTTACTATCATCAGTTACTTAGCTAGCTATAAAACTCAGAAGGCACGTGTAGGTTAGTGTTGGTTATGGATAGTGATTAAAATAGCTATATTTGTATGTATAGACATGGCGACCCCTGTAAAGACACCATGGCTGTAAATAAACGAGTCCGTAAGCTACGTGAACCATTTCACGTCACATCAAACCACTGAATGAGTCTGTTCACGGAATTATACCAAAAAAAAAAAAACTTTGAAAAAATAGGTGGAATTCCCCTTCACGTGTTGCTGTTCAACAGATATAAATTAGTAACTTACATCGGTTTGTTATCCGTGCAGTTATCGACGCTTTTTGCGACAAATATTCCGTTAAACACGAAGCTCAAGTTAGCTGCTTTTCGCCAGCTTCTTAATCGAATTCTCCGTTCCACCTTAAATGGTGCAGCCGTAACGTTCTGGCGCCTCGGCAGCAGCATGTAATTGCTGCGCCTTTTAAGGTGGAACGGAAGAATCGGAAAAGTTGAAGAATAAGATTCATCTGCACATAAAATACGAGTTAATACTGCTACTCCAGAATAACGATATCGTACTAAGTGTCGAATGTGTTCGTTACTTGTTGAAATAAGCCTGTTTTTTAGCAATCTGTGCACGTTTTAAAATGGAGTCCCTGTAGTGGGACTGCTGTCCCCTAAACCGCAGAGATGGCTTTAACCACACTGAAAGAGAGAAGCGTTTAACCACACGTTTACATACGCTTTGGTACCGTGGATCATTTGATTTGTTTAAAGGGGAATTCATGATTTCTGCATAGTTTAATCGCTGAGAAGTAAACGGAGGTATTGAGAGTGGTTTGGTGTGCAGTAGTTCATTGTAGAGGGACGTACCAATTCGGATTTCTTTACATTGGTGGTGATGGGAACCAGGGGTCACAGTGTCTACAGTGCAAATATAGCCGTTTTATTTACTTCCCACAACGACCAGTGAACCTGCACGTCTTCTGAGATTGTTATATGTAGCTAAGGTTGATAATACTGAAGTACAAGCAGTCAGATTTCCTTGGGTGCTGTTTTTTCTTGCACTGCCCTACATCTGCCATGAATGTGCAAGGCCAAAAGCTCACCTCAAAACTCATGCAAAATAATGTTTTAAGCTGTGCCTACTTCACTCTATAGTGCATTATTTTGGGGTTGCGCCATTTTGTAGTGAAGTCAGCAGACGTAGGCTGTGTCTGAAGTAGTCCCCTAATCAGTATACCCTACATCTGAAATTCTGGATTTCTATATAGAACTAAATTTGTGATGGTAGTACCAATTTCAGACACCAACATGATACAGGTTTGCTCATTACTTACAAACAACACAGTGCATTATGGGAATCTCCTATCCCTTTGGGTACATTGGTTGTCCGCTACTTATTGCGGTACACTGCGGAATTGTTTGCACTGGATTTGGCGCAGTATGTTTTTAGACACCACCACAAAATGGCAGAACCTCAAAATAGTGCATTATATAGTGAATGTGGACACAGCGATAGTGTAGAACCCATGTATCAAACACAAGGCCCGCAAAAGTATTTTTCATTTTCAGTTAATATTAGCCAACAAAAACACTTATCGTCAGTTCAGCAGCTCAGGAATTGAGCCCAAGTCTTATTGAACTTGCAGCAAAGAAAGAATGCTGGGTGTCTTCTTCAAGCAAATAGGTAGGTTTAAAAGACTGAGCTCCTGGGAACATGTACATTTAGAATATTTCAAGGTCTACTACAAGTGTCTTTATTTTACTGCTGAGGTTTTTGCATATTTTGAATGAACAATGGCCAGTTCAGGTTACAGCACAACATTTAATTAAAGATGAAATAAAAACATTTTCTTTCTCTGGCCCACAGATTTGTTGAGATTTTTTAATATGGCCTGTTTACTGATTGAGTTTCACACCCCTGATGTAGAAGATCCAGTGCACTTAAACAATCCCACAGTGCATTACAATAAGTAGTGTACAATCGATGTACCCTAGCAGACAGGGGATACCCATAGTGCACTGCACTGTTTGGTTTGAAGATTCACGTGCAACTTCTCTGAGGAGGAGAAGACCTCTCCTTAGACCTGTTACAAATGTAAGGCCTTCTAATGTGTGCAGTCAAACTCATCGGTTATGCTAGACTGGTGGTGTAATGTTTAGTGTTTATATGACGGAATCTGCTGTTGAACATTAATGAGCAAACCCGTATGACGTAGTGTCCAAAATCGTGTGTGTGTGTATATATGTATATATATGTGTATATATATATATATATATATATACACACACACACACACACACACACACACTTTTTTATATATATATATATATATATATATATATATATTGTGTATATGTGTATATATATATATATATATATATAATGTGTATATATAGTGATCCAGATTTTTTTTATCTAGAGGAATCAGGCAGCGCATTTGTAACTGTATAACTTAAATGGTTAAATGCTTCAGACATTTGGTTCCTTTCTCCACTGCTGTTTATGATTCAGTCTTAATTTAATTATGAAAAAAAGGGTGGAATTCCCCTTTAAATAAATATCTAAAAATATATAAATATATAAAATTATCTAAGAAATAATATAACCAGTAAAAAGTATATCTTTGTATTTGGCAGGGGTAGAGGTAGTGTGTATTTGCATCATGTGAATTGCTCACTTTCTCATTGTATAACCACGAATATACTTAATGAGCACTTTATTAGTAACACCTCGCTGTCTTCGAGACAGGGCACTGTATATCGGCATAGCGCGAAAGCCCTGGTTCTCAGTGACTGAGAACACAGGCAAATCCTTGGCAGTACAATTTGCGCTTGACTTTGTAGTTCGCTTCGTCCTTTCGAGTTGGCGGAAGCTCTGACATCGCTTCATCGATGGTCCTCTGGTTGGCAGCAACTACAACCGGACGGAAAATGGATGGAAAAATTTAATTTTTCCCTCAACTCCACAGAAGCCAATATGCTAGTTTAAGGATCGGCAACCTCTTTTACTGGCCGGTTGCGGCTCCACATCAGAATTAGATTTCTAGGTAAAAATAAAATAATCCTCCTTTGCAGTAAAATAAAGCTCTGCTGATCGTTCAAACACAGTTTTAATGATCTTAAACACTGGAATTAGTGTAGCCTATAACTTCTATGAAAAGGCAGAGATTTAAAACGAACACCGACTCTTATTAATATTTGGGTTGCCGACCCCTGCACTAGCTTTTAATGTAGTGTGCTGCCACAGACTGTCTGGGCGCTGTACTTCCGCACTTTGCAAAGTTCCGCCTTTTGCGTTCCATCAACATTACATTATCAGTTAAAATTTAGAAAATCGTTTTTTTTGACATTTGTGAATTGATTCAGAATCGTCCACGTCCGCATCGCGATGCATCTAAGAATCGATTTTTTCCCCCACCCCAATTCTATATAAATGTGTCAATAAATAACAAATTTGTTCCAAACATTCAAAGCATTTTTGCATTTGCATATATGCTCATATGATTTGAATTTCTGACTTCTGACATTAAAATCCTTGGCAAAGAGAATTGTGAAATTCCACAGCAAAGTATGATAATGCATTAACCATGGATTTGACTTTTCTTTGTGTGTAAGTAGGGAGTTCAATCAGTGACCGATTAATGATTAACCTACTAATACATAAATGTTCGACCAGTGCTTTCAGTTAAAAACTTAATTTCTCATTAAAATCTGATTTTTGAATAGGCGGTGTTCTCGTCCTGCTTGAGGACCATTTTTGAGTGCCGCAGTGCGAAACATCTTAATGATGCTCAACTCTAGGTTTTCTGGAGTTTCAACACCTCATCTGCACTTAATTTTAACCAGTAGCACCAGTAGGGATACAGCAGTGATTAAACCATCCTATACGTACTTCACACCATTTAGAGTGGCTACAGATGAAAGTAATATGATGAAAATCCATGTCATTTGCCAAGAGTCAACGCAGATTGTTGGTGTTGAAGAATTTACTCACCATCAAACACCCTCCAACAAAATGAAACGTGTGGCTAAAAAGACTTGTGTGAGACGGCAAGAGCGTCATACTAATACAGTGTCTCTTGTGGTTTAAAACTTAGTTACACTTATTTATTGTCTATGTCAAAATCTTACACGGACTTACTTATGCTACTAGATAATGCTAGGTAATTCTAGGAATGAACTATTATGGGATATCAGATTTTTTTCATGTACATACCTACTGATGCCGTTATACACACTACCAGTCAAACGTTTAGACCAACTTGATTGGCTGTATGTTAAATCTGTAGATTGAAATGTTTTTATGCTTAAAAAGGGTCTTGGCAAATAAAAATAATAAGGCTGCACTGATATGGGAAATGTGGGATGATATCTGGAAATTTTCAAATACATATTTACCAATGCTGATACATAAATGTTAATAAAATGTAGAAATTGGGACAATCTGTTCAGCTTTTTCAGGAATACATATGTGATCAAATACAGGTTTAGATTTACTGGTCAAATTTAATAAATGTAATGTCAGTGCATTAAAAAAAACAGTTGTCTGTCAATATTGATATGATTAAGGTCATGCAGACCTAGTAAACCTTGTTTACTTTAAAGACTTCTCACTTTTCTTTGTCTTTTCTTGTGTGCAGCTTTGTGTGGAGATGAAAAACAGGACACCAGCGAAAGATTTCTACTACTGAGTTGGAGAGCTGAGGCAATGAAGCAAGCTGAAGGAGTGGATGAGAAAGATACGACAGGATTCATTTGAAATGGTCTTTGTCAGCCGTTCATTACTCTACAGCTGCGCCTGATCAAACATGCTGGTGTTGAAGGTGGAGCTGCACAGCTGTGTTTTACAACTACTTCCCCCAGCAAATTAACAGTTTAATTTTAAAGACTGTTCCATCCCTTGTGAAAGTCATATGGTGGTGCTCAGTTTGATCTTGATGGAACATTTTGGCACTAACACTACAGACCAGGATGTCAAGCGATGAACTAACAAAAAGGTCCATGCGTGATGATCTAGACCAAGATCCCATGATGGAAGAGACAAGCATGCCTAATGACTCTCGGAGCGAACAAGATGGTGCTGAGCCAGTGGGGATTTCCAAAAATGACTCTCCTGATCATCCTAAAGTTCCGAGTCCACCTCCAGTAACATCTCTTGGTGACCAAGGGGAAAAGCAAGGAACTGATAAGTCTCCCTGTGGTGTCCTCAGTGATGAAGCGTCTATATCAAACGATAGTGCTTCCACAGATAATCCACAGGAAAGAAGGCGTAACAGTCAAGATCTTGCCAGTTCGGAGATGCACGTTGAAGAGTCTGGACCAGTAAGTGAGAAAAGTATGCCTGCAGATGATGATGACTCTGATGAGGCCACAAAAAGTTTATCCCCTACGAATATGTGTGAGCAGAAACCTTTGAGTGACTGCAATTCTGAAGGGAGCGATACAGATATGATGACCGAAAATCCAACCGAAAGGGAGATTTCCTCTCCTCGTGGGCGTCCACGCAAGGAGAAGCGGATTATAAAATGCGAGTACTGTGGACGGCCGTTCAATCATGCTTCAGCGTATATCATCCACCGGCGTGTCCACACGGGCGAGAAGCCCTTCAGCTGCCAGGTTTGCAGCAGAGCCTTTGCTCAACTCTCCAACCTTAGGTCGCACATGAAGGTCCATAATGCTCCGAGAATTCTAAGCTTGCAGCATTCTGGCAAATTCCAAAGCAAAACCACTGTGGCTGAAAGTGTGACCCAGAACCAGCCGATTGTGACTGCAAGTTTTCGAAATGACACCCACATTAAAAGCAGTGGCCCTTTCCGCAGGAGCAGAAAGCCTGTAGCTTGTCCTATCTGTGGAAAAATCTTTCCCTACAAATCGGTGCTTAAAATACATCTACGGATCCACAGTGGGGAGAAGCCGTACTCCTGCAGGGTGTGCGGTAAATCATTTACACAGGCGTGCACTGTTCGGGTACATGAAAGGGTACACTGGTCCATCAAACCTTTTCTGTGTTCCAAGTGTGGGAAAGGATTTTCCCAAATTGGGACGTTAAAGGCGCATACATGTGCAGGTAAAAAGCAAATTCATGCTACTTTAAAAGAAATGGAATTGGCTGGTGTTGTTACCTTCCGATGTCACCTGTGCAGAAAGTGCTTTAGCACTAGAGATGAATACGATCCTCACTTGCAGACACATACTGATAACCAGCGTTACATCTGTGACAGTTGTGGTCAAAAGTACAGCCTACGTTCTGAGCTTGAGACCCACAAGAAATACTGCTTTTCAATGTGGCTCTCGAAGACCAAGACATACAGTCGCCAGTCTTTGGTCAAGTCTCAGGTGAAACATCCTCCATCTACTAAAACAGTTCAAAGCTCACAGCCTGAAAGTACACCTGTAAAATCCCCAAAACCAAACTTGGCTGATTTCTCCTCACCTAAAAGATCTAAAACGCCACAATCTGACTTTTCCCTGCAACCAAAGCGTAAAAAATACCTTTCTTTGCTTACTTGCCCTCCTAGGGTGATGGCCACGTCTATTTACGACCCTCAAAATAACCTCAGTCACTGTCAGCCTTTCAAAGCAAGTTACTTCGTTTCTCAGTTAAACAGTTTGGACCAGAAATCTGACCCAAGGAAATATTTGTGTCCACGGTGTGGACGGCTCTTCCGACACGTTGGACGGCTGAGAGCCCACATGCTTACTCACTCCCGGGGCAAGAGTTTCACCTGTGGTGACTGTGGGAGGATCTTTGAAAACTGGAGCAAGTTTTGGCACCACCAGCGCGTGCACAAGCAGAGACGAGGCCGCTTCTTTTGTCCCAGATGCGGCCAGGGGTTTCGCTTTGCGAGCATCTACATGGATCACCTGCAGCAGCATCCAGAGCTCAATGCATTTTTCTGCCCATTCTGTCCTCACACCTTTGCAGATGCTAAAAGTTTGAAAAACCACCAGCAAGAGTGGCATCGCTCAAGTATGCCCCATATATGTGACATTTGTGGCAAAGGTTTCTCAAGTCCTGTCATCCTTAAGCGACATCGAGTGGCGCACTGTTTTCAAAACAGGCAGCTGGACATGCCTTACGTAGTTGATGTGCAGCCCTTTGTGAAGCCTTATGAATGTGGCAAGTGTGATGCCAGTTTTAAGACATTGGATATGCTTTTTGGTCATCAGCTTTGCCACTCCCCTAATGGTGACCTAAGCGTAAGCTTGAGCAATGGCATCAGTCACAGACATGACGAACTGAAGGAAGAGGAACACTCGCCACAAAAGCGCCAAGAAAACGATCTCCACCTCAGTGCTTCTACCTCTCACGTGGATACTTCAGATCCATGTCAAGACATCAGTCAGGGCAGTCCCTCTGCTTTCTCGACGGCTACCCCCACAGATGCAGTTAAAATGCAACCACAGCAGGACCTTGACTCTAGTGTTTCCCAAAGTACCACAACTTTACAGCCTTCGTCATCGGATTCTGAGTCCATACCTCTAGAAGTAGAAGAGGTAAAAGAGCTTACCTACAGGACAACTGGGGACACTATTCCAAACCTCAGTGGTACAATTCTACGGTCCAAACCGGAGCAGAAAGCTGGGCACCTGGAGTGCACAGAATGTGGTGCTTCTTTTGCTGTTCTTCCAGCTTTGCATAGACATTACTTGGAACATGCTAGGGGAGAGATATAAATGACTTTCTAAAATGATGCCATGGCTAAAATGCCTCTGGTCATACTTTGGACATTTTGAAACACTAAGCAGAGGTTTTGTATGGGAGATACTTTGCACTGTATGTGGAACTGAACTGTTTGCTATGACCTAAACATGAGTAATGTTCTTCTGAGTAGAGCACTATTTAGACGGGATTGGTAGGTTTACATGGGAAGGTTAGGAAACGTAATGATCCATTTTCAAGTAATTTTAGTCCCGTCCAAATTCACCATATCAGCAAATTTTACCGTGAACTCCCGATCAATTCCATTTGTTTATCTGCCACAAAACATACTATGAAAATAATCTCAGGTTATATTCATTCTTCTTCATACACCCTGTTGAAAAGGAGTATAGCCGAGCATTTACCTGTCTATGCCCCAAATCAAGCCGATATGTATTCTGTCTCAAGTGTATGACTTCGAACAGTAAAATGTGCAATTGTGGTTGATTTATGTAGTGATGCTGACTTTTGGCTGTAAGTTTCCACACTATTGTCAATGCTAATTACACACTTCATTCGCTTAAGACAGATAACCCAGAATATTCACTTTTCCTGACTTGACTCTTGAGTCTTCTGAATGTCCTGCACCAAACTGCCAGTTAGTTTGGGTTGTGATGTCACAGCACATGAGTGTTTGGTTGCTTCTGATTGGTCAGCTTATGGACAGACAGTTTGCAAACTCTGGTATTGGGTTAAATGTCCCCACTTGCAGCATAAGACATTAACAATGTAGGCTAAAATAAAAATTGCAGTTCTTGCAAAAGATTCATGCACTGAATCTTTCAGCTCTTCCCAGTTGTCTTTCTTTTTTGATCAAATTGCTAGAACTAATACATTTTGCCCCACCACTTTTGGAGGTGTAGCGCCACCCCTGGTTTGAGGTAAACCAAAATTCGATTAAATTAAATGTTTGGACATGTTTTCTAATTCTAAACAGCTGAATGTATTGCATGTGGAACTTATTTTTTTTTTGGTGTGACAGTGATGCGCAAACCCACTGTTCACTCTGAAATTCATTTTTAAGACTTTTCTTTTGTGAATCAGTCCATGAACATTACAGATGTCCCTGAGCCCAAAGCTACATTACCTGCTCATGTTAAGCTAATCCCGTCTGAATAGTGCTGTAGACCGGCATCATGTTAACAGTGCTATAAAGTCAAACATGGGACCTTACGTGAAGCAGTTGTTTCTAGGATCTCAAGAAGTTTTAATAATAAACTGAAAAGACGTTTCTCAGTTGCCCCACCATCTTGCGATGATCTTTGCGAGATGCTGACATTTTAACCTGGTAGTAGTAAGTGTACTTTGTATTTTTTAGTTTTGTACATGACCTTTTTGTATCAGGTTTTAATTTAAGCTATATATCTGTACCTTTTTTATATAGCACTTGTTTTTCCTGTAGTGCATGTTAGGAAAAGAAACCCTAATAAAGTTTTGTAGAACCTTTTGGAAATGTGTTAAACGTGTCAAGTCTGAGAGGTAATGGTTTGACAGTAGAGTATCGTGCTGGGTAATATTGATCCAAGAGCACAATACATCGAGCAGGCATAACATTATGACCACCTCCTTGTTTCTACGCTCATTGTCCATTTTATCAGCTCCACTTACTATATAGGTGCATTTTGTAGTTCTACAGTTACAGACTGTAGTCCATCAGTTTCACTGCATACACTGTTAGCCCCCTTTTACCCTGTTCTTCAGTGGTCAGGACCCCCATGAACCCTCACAGAGCAGGTACTATTTGGGTGGTGGATCATTCTCAGCACTGCAGTAACACTGATGTGGTGGTGGTGGTGGTCTGTTAGTGTGTGTTGTGCTGGTATGAGTGGATCAGACACAGCAGTGCTGCTGGAGTTTTTAAACACTGTGTCCACTCACTGTCCACTCTATTAGACACTCCTACCTCGTCAGTCCACCTTGTAGATGTAAAGTCAGAGACGATAGCTCATCTGCTGCTGTACAGTTTGTGTTGGTCATCCTCTAGTCCTTCAACATTGGTCACAGGATGCTGCCCACAAGACGCTGTTGGCTGGATATTTTTGGTTGGTGGACTATTCTCAGTCCAGCAGTGACACTGAGGTGTTTAAAAACTCCAGCAGCACTGCTGTGTCTGATCCACTTGTACCAGCACAACACACACTAACCTAATGGTCATAATGTTGTGCCTGATCAGTGTATACTCCAGATATATTAGCTGACATTTACATTTGCATTAATAAAGTTAATGAACCCAAACTTTCTGAGCACAGTAAGAATGTTTTCTTATGACACAGCTTGTTTATTGGGCTGTTTTGTTCTGCATTTCTTAAATTACACCAAAGGGAGCCTTAGCCTTGTAAAGCCTTAGCCTTGTAAACATTAACATTGCAGGAGTTTTCATAATCTAAAAATTAGCATTGCTTTGTGACATCAATATCAGTATACTGGCATAGATGATATCGCCCAGCGCTACACTTAGGAAAAGGTGTAGCAGTCTGTATCTTAATGTAATTGATGATTTTCCGAGATAATGATTGACATGCCTGTTAGCCAATTACCACAGTCTGTACTTCCACCATTCAGAGAATGAAATGATAAAACGAAACTCCGCAGAACAAACAATGAGAATGATGGTGACAATAAAGTCCGAATTATTAGGATAAAAGATGTTTTATTTTACTTAGATTTAGATTTAACTGGGTGTTTCAAAACATAAAGCAGAAATCTGGGATAACAAGATGTGCTCTGTAAACTGATTTAAAATACTCACATTTATAAAACTAAATTTTAATCTTACACTAAAGATGGGTGTTTTTAACTTCTGGATGAATTGATTTTCAAATAATACGTTAACACACTGCAAAATGCAGATTATTGTTCTATTTTATCATGTTTTTGGTGATGTGTGTCCCAAAGCCACTCTATGTATGGTCATTCATAGAGTCTCATCTTCCTTGTCCAGGCTTCTGAAGCAGTTTGTTGCATTCCTGAAAATCCAGACCATAGACTGGATAGACTGTACCTATGTCTACATTCAAGCACCCTATGAGAGAGAGTAGGAGTTTGTGAACAGAAGGGGGGGGGGGCATAGCACTGTTAATAATAATAATGATAATAATAATAATATTTTCTTTAGACAAGAACACAGATAAAATACTAAGACAAATACTAAAGATACATGGAATTTTTTATAAAAGTCTAAGTCAAAGAGATACGTTTTTAGATGCTTCCTCGCAGACCGAAGGGAGCCATCTTCCGGTGACAGTCAGAAACTGACGCCCTCTTTCAATTGGTATGTGATTGGTTCCTAGGCGCCTCACGGCTGTAAAAATATGACGCTTTGAAATTGGATTAATCTTTTTGAATCACCCTGTATGTGTTTTTCCTTAACAAGAAATGCTATAATATCATTTGTCCAGCAGATGGACACATAGAGGGCTATTAAAAGCACAGAAAATCAAGATCTAGAAATCCTTATCCTGTGATATCTGGATCAAGTCCAGTCTGAAAATGTTTTGAAAAACTGGGAGAGATTATTTTGATGCTTGATAGGAAAAATGGAGGTTTGATTATACTGATTAAAAGCTTTTAGAAACTGTTTGCTCTTAGTTAAGGTACATTTTGGGTATTTTTTTAAATTTGAGTGACTTTGCTCTGAGGAATTGTACTATAATGTCTAATGATAAATAATTTTACAGAACAATGGGCCTCATTCACCAACCATTCTAAAGAAGAAATTCCTTTTTAAAACCCATGTACAATCAAGAGCACAAATGCTCAACACGTCATGAATCTGACGTAGACTTTCATTTAGGATCTTTCTCAATAATAAATTTTAAAAGAACTTAGTAAGATAGTGGTGAATGAGGCCCTATGTTAAGATAGTGTTCAGATCCAGTGTTAGGACAGATATAGTAAGTAAGTAGGTAAGACATCAGGATTTGTCACACTTGTGTAATTGTAAAATCAGTAGTAATCATATAACTGCGATTAAAAATAAACGAATCTTAAATAGATTTGCTGCCCTGCGATGGACTGCCAACTTGTCCAGGGTGTTTCCTTTCTTCCACCCAATGACTGCTGGGATAGCGCCACCCGGGACCCAGATGGTTTAGCAGTTTAGAAAATGTTGGCACGTTAATCTATGGAGCCTGGGTTAGCCTCACCGCAAACCATATAATGTAAAACCTTATACATTTTCCATTATTACATTATCAGCAGTTGATGACATTATACATTGTTATTACATTATACATAGAATGTAGCAATTGTCCCACAAATCCAAATTGATCACCACTGGCCAATCAAATTTCAAGGATCTCTATGGGAAGAGTCAGAGTGAGTTCACGTTTACCTTTCAAAAACATATAAAAAGAGTATCAACTATAGCTAGTTGCAATATTATCATTTCTACACAGATTTTAATGCATCTAAGAATTGCTAACTCTGTTGTTTAGCCAAAACCAATCAAAACCAAATGGAACACGGTCAAATTATGCCTGCTGAAGGGGATCTGATTAAAATGTAAAAATAAAGATATTTAACTGGCTGGTTCTATATTTGGGGCCAGTCTTGGGCTGGAGGTTAGGGAACCAGCCTTGTGACCCGAAGCTCACCAGTTTGATCCCCTGCGCTGACAGTACGTGACAGAAGTGCCCTTGAGCAAGGCACCTAACCCCCAACTGCTCCCCGGGTGCTGTGGATAAGGCTCCCCACCGCCCTGGGCAAGTGTACTCACTGCCTGCTAGTGTGTATGTGGTGTTTCACTGCACAGATGGGTTAAATGCGGTGGTGAATTTATCCATTGTGGGATTAATAAAGGGTAACTTAACTTATATTTGGTCCAGTCCAGCACTGATGGATCATGGTCCCATGAGGCCTCCAGGCACAAGTGTCTTTGGATCACTCCTTTCAACGCTTCTTTTATTTCTTTACTTTCTTCTTAGAAGCACTTAGATTCCAATGCTCCATTGCTGATTCTGTTTTGCATGCTAGTAGATACAAATGCCCTGCAGTCCACAAGCTGAAAACCCTTGCCTGGCAATAATCTGCGTCTCCAGGCAAAAAGTATGTTAGAGATCTGAAAAGAAACATTTAAGCCTGAAAGTAAGATATTCCCTCAGCACTCCTGTGATTAAAGGGAACTCCAATTCCCAGAAGCCCTCGGGCTGATTAGGCCCAAACTGACACACCTGTAGACTCCTCTACTTAAGGCTGTGGCAAACAGCAGCCCTTTGTCACACCTTTGTAGAGGGGTGACCAGTACGGTACACAGCCCAGTTGGGTATTTGAACAAAAGGAAAAAGAAAAGATGAACAAAAAGAAAAGAAAAGAGGGCTGGAAAAAAACGAAAGAGAGGAATTGCCCCAAAACTACTTAAAAACCACAAGAAGGCTTGAGCTACAAACGGCTCCAAGCCATACAAAAGGTGTTTGCTCTAAGAGCAATCAAGTGAAACATAAAGTCTGCCTTCCCTTCAGAATTACAGTGGAAGGAATTTTGTTTTCTCATTATCTTTTACTTCACGTTTCTAGTTAAGCCTTTGTTTGAGCACGATGCTTTCAGCGTCCCCTTTGTTTGTGTACATCGGCGGTTCGAGCCTGGCTCTGGGTCACCTCAACTCCAACGTGCCAAATTCACACTCCATTGCCTCAATAAATTTAACACCTTTCTCATGGGTTTTCCTCTCTGCACTTGGGTCCACCTCCCTGCCATCCTGTAACAGGTTTCACATGCCTTGGAGGACGCAGGTGTTAGGGGATGGAATTGGCAATGACAAGGGAGAAAATTGCTTAACACAAAAAATTTTTTTACCAATGTGGAGTAGGACACTGGGGGTTGTACCACATAACACAATATAGGGAGACTAACCAAAGAGCAGAAGACCCACTCAGATTTCTGACACGGACCCACTCATGAACCAAATTTTTGACATGAACTCAAAATTTGACTTTCACCTGCTGCTTTCTCTCTTAAACTAAGGTGCAGCTATACAGTTGGTGCTTTAACATGTACAGCAGTAACATGATTATTATTGAATTTGGTCAGTTATCTGATTATTCAGTGGTTAAGTAAACAGTATACCCCAATTTCTTAGATTGGTTTGAGAAATCTAATAAAGAGACCAGAATTTTAGCCCCTTTTTAGTAATCTGTCCCAAAAACAGCAAGCATTTAACTCGGCACCCACAAAATGGCAGCAAAACACTACAACTACATGCTTAAAGGAAGAAGACAAAAGCTGAATATTGTTCATCTTCTACTTGATGTATATTTACATTTACTTGCCACAAATTACAATTACAGACTGTAGTCCATCTGTTTCTCTGCATACCTTGTTAGCCCCCTTTTACCCTGTTCTTCAGTGGTCAGGACCCCCATGGACCCTCACAGAGCAGGTACTATTTGGGTGGTGGATCATTCTCAGCACTGCAGTAACACTGATGTGGTGGTGGTGTGTTAGTGTGTG